GGCCTGAAAGACCCCTGTGTGGGAGGCCCCTATGTGGGAGGCCCCTGGGAGCTGGGCGCTGCCTGGGAGCCCCTTGCCTAGAGGCCCCTGCTCCCCTGTTTGGGAGGCCGGCCTGGAAGGCCCCTGCCTGGGAGCTCCTGGCTCTGGCCTTGGCTTTGGTCTGAGGATTTTTGTGGGATCCAGTCTCCACAGGACGCAGCATGCAAGGGCGAAGGCGGCAGCCAGCCCCAAGCCCAAACCGGGAGGCTGTGGCCCCCTGCCTGGGACTGGATCTGCTTACCCTGCCTGAAAAACAGGCCTTGGCCTGAGGTGCCTGGCCCTTTCAAGCTAGGGATCACCACGACTCCAACAAGGTCCAGCTGCAGCATCAGCGAAAGCGAAGGCAGCAGCAACCGCCCATCCCACCCCTTTGACTTCAGGGCACGAAGGCGGCAGCCAACCCAATCCCAAACCTCTGACTTTTTGGCCCTCCCAGAAGCCCTCGAATGAGGCAAACTTCTGATTTCACGCCCTTCCAAGCAAGTTTTCCAACCCCCGCCCAACACGCAGCATCACAGAGGGCGAAGGCGGCAGCCAACCCCAAGCCCAAACCTCTGACTTTTGGCTCTCCCAGCAGCCCTCGACTGATAGACATCTCCCTTGCAATGCCTAGGGGCTGCGAGCTTCAGGGTAGTTGATCGGCATCGATGCCGAGCTTCTAAACCCAACCAATAGACAAGAGAAAAATAACAAAAGCACGATCAGAGTTCAAAAGAACCCTAAACCCGTAGAGGTTAAGGCGAGGGTGGAGCGCCAGCGGGGGTGGGCTTATGCAACTCGGGGCGCGCGCCTGGGTGCTTTCAGCACCAGCGCGCCCACTCATTGAGACACCCTACATCACCACATGAACCCTAAACCCTAAACCCTAAACCCTAAACCCAAAACCCTAAACCCTAAACCCAACGGGTAATCTCTAATGTATAGACAGCACCTAAGCGAATCTAAGACCCCCCAGGCCATATTCTTGCCGAAGCTGAAGCCCCTAGAAGGACAAGCCCTCGAAACCCCTCAAGCCTAAACCCTAAAACCCGAACCTTAAGCCTAAACCCCTAAATCCAAACCCCAAACCCCTCGAAAGCCCAAGGCTTCAAGCCTTTGGAGCTAAGAACCCAACCATTGCAGCTTGTCGTGTCCCACACCGCACAACCTGCGCCCTACACCCTAATTCCTAAACCCTAAACCCTAAACCCTAAACCCTAAACCCTAAACCCTAAACCCTGGTCTGAGGGTTTTAGGGCGCATGGGTATCTTGAAAGTCCTGTCTCCAAACGGCTAGTAGCGTGGGTTCCTAAACGTGCGAGGTGAGGCATCCACCTGCACCGTAGAGGCCCGATACACATGAGCTGTGAGAAGTTGGTAACCTAAACTCTACCCACCCTAAACCCTAAGGGTTTAGGGTTTAGGGTTTAGGGTTTAGGGTTTAGGGTTATTCCGGCCCGCAGAATCTCGTTATTTATTGAAGCTCGGTGACAAAACTGCAGGGTCGGGGAGGCATTGGGCGGTATTCTACGCCATTCTGGGTGTCATTCTCTTGGACCCGGGTAGCCCTTATTCCCCGTTTTTAGGGCTTAGGTTCCTTTGTACTTAAATTAAGCCCCTTTGAACCAAAAATTAGCATCCTTCTTGTTCCTAAGTAACTCTTGAATCTAGAAGAAATTCTCTCTGACCGGGCGTGCAAATTAAAACTTTGGATGCCGATGGAGTTTCTTGAGCATGGAACTACATGAGTGTTTCCGAAAATAGGCGTACCCTTTTTGGGGGGTCAAAGCAATTTGGGGAATAATAGGGGAAAAACCACATCTCCGCGTTGGCATGTGTGCTTGGTTGGTGTAGTTTCTGGCACATAGGCGATTCCAGGACGACCTAAACCCTGAACCCTAAACCCTAACCCCTAAACCCTAACCCCTAAACCCTAATTAACACCCTCTAATCCCGTAAAGCAGGCCCATGTTTCTAGAGGGTCGGGGGATGGGGATTCTAAGGCCCAATGGCCCTAAATCCGAAACCCTAAACCCCAAACCCTAAACCCTGAGCCCATACTGGTGCATTGGCGTGTGCCTGCATGACACCAGCTGCGTTGCGGGGTTTTTACAGACTTCAACTTCAATCTGAAGCCCCAAGCCTCAACCTTTGCGGCCGAAAGCCTCAACTTCGGGTTTACGGTTTAGGGTTTAGGGTTTAGGGTTAGGGTTCAGGGTTCAGGGTACAGACTCTAGTACAGTCCCTAACTTTACAACCATTAGTTGCACAGTCCCATACCCCAAACTTAAGACTTTGGACCCTCAATCCTCAACCCTGAACGCTCAAGCCTCAACCCTAAGCCCCTAAATCGAAACCCTCAACCCCGCAGACCCTGAATCCCTTAACCCTAAACCCTAATCCCTTAACCCTAAACCCTAAACCCCAAACCCTAAACCTAAACCCCAAACCCCAAACCCTAAACCCTAAACCCTAAACCCTAACAACCACCCAGAGGAGGCAAAGCAGGCCATCGACGCCGCCTGCAGGGAGCTGGGCAAGGGCTACAGCTGCAAGGCGGTTTAGGGTTTAGGGTTTGGGGTTTAGGGACTGGGGTTTAGGGTTTGGGGTTTAGGGTTTAGGGTTTAGGGTCTAGGGACCCTAAACCCAGACCTGAACTCCCAACTAGGGTGGTAAACCCAAATTCGTACCCCTGGTGTATTCCTAGGTTACTCTGGGGTCTAGATGCTCCACTAGACTTTCAACTTTCAAGGCCCTCGACCTAAACCCCCAAACCTTAAACCTTAAACCTAAACCTGTGCTAAGGGCTCAAGGGTAGTTGCAGACCCACCCTCAAGAGCCTGAATCCTGAAACCCTCCAATGTGCATCTCCCCCCAAACCTAAAAATGAACCCCTTGTGACGATACAGGGTTCAAGGGAAAGAACCGACATAAACCTAAACACTGATTGAGGGTAGCGGTACTTTTGAAAGTTGTGCAAGCCCTCAACCCTGAACCCGAAACCCTTAAATACCCTAAACCCCAAACCCCAAACCCTAAACCCTAAACCCTAAACCCTGGAGGTGGTCTCCTGGGATGATGTCTGCCGCGGCCACCAGGGCTCCCTGAGCTGTGGCGGGCCCAACATCACCGACTCGAGGCCTTCAGGGTTTAGGGTTTAGGGTTTAGGGTTTAGGGTTTAGTGTTACAGGGTTTAGTGTTACAGGGTTTCGGGCTTAGGGTTCATGACGTTTTTAGGGCCCACCGAGGTTGTACGTCTTTTGGGTGTCGTAGGATTTCCAGGGTTTTGCGGGGCTTAGAATCGGATCTCTTCCTTGGAATGTTTTACTGGCTGGTTCTTCGTAGGGAGTGGGGGAATGAGGTACCCTATACAATCCCTTAAAGGGCACATATAGGGCCCCAATTCTCCTAAACCCTTAGCCCTAAACCCTAAACCTTAAACCCTAAACCCCAAACCCGAAACCCTAAACCCTAAACCCTAAACCTCCCTACACTGGCCCTACACCCCACATGGGAATCAGGTTCGGGGTTCTCAGGTTTGGGGCCTCTGAACTTTGGGGTTCTTCAAATTCCAGCCGACGCCAGCTGCAAGGGGCAGCGGCCAGAGCCCCAAAGCCCTCGAGCTCTACTGGCATGCTCAGGGTTTAGGGTTTAGGGTTTAGGGTTTAGGGTTTAGGGTTTAGGGTTTCTCAAGAACCTCCTCCCCCCCCCTCCCCCTAAACCTTGAAACCCCGCTTCCTCCTCATCTCATGGCTGAGTTACTCTAAACCCGAAACCCTAAACCCTAAACCCTAAACCCTAAACCCTAAACCCTAAACCCTAAACCCTAAGCCCTAAACCCTAAACCCTGAACCCTGAACCCAGGCTCACAGCGCGGAGTGGCCAAAGCTTGTGCCTTGCCTTCGTTCGCCAAAAGGGTTTTGGTTATAAGGACCCTACTTAAAGGGGACTCGGGGGGGGGGTTTAGGGTTTAGGGTTTAGGGTTTAGGGTTTAGGGTTTAGGGTTTAGGGTTTAGGGTTTAGGGCACTTATAACTGGGGTTAGAAGGACCCATGAACCTCCAAGTGTACCAAGGGGCTTAAGACTCCAACTCCTACGGTTATACCTCGGGACTTTCCCCCCTTAATAGGGACCAGAGTACTTCCCTCCATGGTTATCCCCTTTCTTGACTGCTAGTCTAAGGGGGGAATATTCCCAAGTTGTGCCCTTTAAGTTTCCCTTGAACCCCTAAACCCCTAAACCCCTAAGCCCCAGACCCTAAACCCTAAACCCTTAAACCCTAACCCTTAAACCCTAAACCCTAAACCCTAAACCCTAACTTTTTTGGGATCTGTAAACAAAGGATCGGCTCAGGGGTCCAAGGCAAAGTCCCCGGAATGGACCTATCTAGCATGCGCTTGGGCCCGAAAGCTACTACATGGGGTTTAAGGCTTAGGGTTTAAGGTTTGGGGTTTAGGGGCCCTTAGGGTTACTACATGGGGGGGGGGGGGGGGGGGTGGGGGTTTAGGGTTTAGGGTTTAGGGTTTAAGGTTTGGGGTTTAGGGGCCCTTAGGGTTTAGGGACGACAATGATATAATGATGACCTTGATGATGAGGATGTGAGTGAGGGTGCTGCTGCTGTAGATGAGGATTCTAGTTGTTCTAGTTAGAATCACAAATGACAGTTCTTGTAGTTGTATGTTTATTGTTGTTGTCGTTGCTTTGTTTTTCAGCGTTTGCCGTTTGTACTATTACTGGTCCTGTTCTTGTTACCACTACTATTCTGTTTATCATCATGATTACCATCATTATGGTGATGAGGATGGGGATGACGATACTGCTCCTGATGATGGTGCAGGTACACGGTGCGCAGCGACAACTGGAACGAGAGGCAGGTCTGCACCCGCATTCACTTATAAAATCTTCTGAAAAGGCTGCAACCCCATGTCTCAGCCACCCAGCGACAAAGACAACTTATTGCAAAAGAACAGCATGCATCGGTCATGCATGGGGAGTGCTCTGACAACTCCTGTGCGACCAGTCAAAACGCTAACATCACCTCTCTGTTTCTGATTTTCGTCTGGGCGTTTTCAGCAGGGACTTGGGATGATGGGGCACGTCCAGAGTTTCAAAATCTAGGGCGAGACGTCGCCAAGACAGGCTGGGAAGGATATCAGCCGACGACCTCTTTGTGCTCGCCCGCGGACAGGAGGAGGAGGAGACCTACTCTGAGCCATTTGGGGCCTTAGGTGTTTGCGGTGCGTAGGGTAGTTTTAGGTATGCTCTTGGGGTCCACGTACCACTGTAATAGTATTCACGTATAGCTTTAGGGCCCAAGCATATGCTACATTGCCCCCTAAACCCTAAATCCTAAACCGTAAAGCGCGGCACCGACTGGCGTCGGCCTCCCCGTGGCCGCCGCGCGGGCAACCATGCTGCTGCACTAGTTAGGGTTTGTGGCTGTGCGCGATGTGTGTGTGTGTGTGTGTGCTTTTGCTTGCGCTAGGTTCGGATGATGTGCCTCGGGACCAGTGGGTGTGACGGTGCTGGGGCCAGGGTGAGAGCGCGATATGAGAGATGCAGCATGGGCTAATCCACTTCCGACATGGTCGGACCCCCCTTCTGTACGGTGTTTGTCCTCGGGGTCATTTGTTTTGCTGGGTCAACAGGGGGCGGAATGTCAGTCATCCTCGGCCACTCTGGCTTAAAGCTGTCGCGGGGGCCGTTGGGGGGGGGCCGCACATGGTGCAGTCTCCCTCTCCTCTGCTGGGTGTGGTTTTTCTGGTGGTGTGCCGGGTGTGCCAGTGAGGTTTGCCCACCCGTGTGGTCGGCGGTTGGGCTTATCACGTGGTTGTCTGCGGGGGTTTTGCGCACGGGGTCTCGACCCTAAGTTGCCTTCAGGCTGTGCACGAGGTGTGTGTGGACAGGGGGTCCCTTTGGTGTTATCGCGTACGGTGCGAGGTCCAGGGAGGGGGCGCTTTGGTCGGACTTGTGACTCCTCTGTTTCTTTTTCTCGCTCTTTGGGGAAGGCCACGAGCCGACCCTGCAGTGGGGCATTCCTATCGGGAATCCCCGGATGTTCGGGCGTCACCTACGTGGGGGCGCCCTTGTGTTGAGCGAGCTCTTCTTTGGACAGGGGTACCTGATATCGCCCTTTCACCTGCCTCTTAGCCCCTCCGGGGATCCCCGCTGGTTCCAATATGGAGGGCTCTTCAATTTTGTAGCACCTGGAGGCCGCCGCGCCCAACGCGGAGTCGGTGCTAATTGGTTGGTTCTGGGGAGTAGGGGCTACATTCGGCGCACTTCTTCTTCTTCTTCTTCTTCTTCTTCTTCTTCTTCCTAAACCCTAAACCCTAAACCCTAAACCCTACATGGACCCTTCGGGACAAGGGGTCTTGGGCTCTTCTGGGGGCAAGGAGCTTGCCCCAGTCTCCTTGCGGGAGTACTTGAAGAAGATGGGCAAGTACGGCGGATACGCAGGCCTGGGAGCTTGTGGGTTCAAGGGTTTAGGCCGCTTTTAGGGTTAGGGTTTAGGGTTTAGGGTTTAGGGTTTAGGGTTTGGGGTTGAGGGTTTAGGGTTTGAGTCCTGACTTTTGGCAGACGCTGAAGAGGCCTCGCCCCCGACGCGGACTTGGCAGACGCAGCTGCCGACAATGAGGTGAGCATCAGGCAGGCAGGGGCAGGGGCAGGTTGGTGCATACCTGGATTTACCCTAAGACCCTAAACCCTAATCTCCTAAAGCCCGAAAACCCTAAAACCCTAAAGCCCCAAAGCAAAACCCTAAAGCCCTAACACCCTGAAACCCTAAAGCCCGAAGAGCCAAAGCCCTAAAGCCCGAAAACCCTCTAACCCTAAAGCTCTAAACGCCTCAAATTTTAAAGCCCTAAAGCCCTCAAGCCCCTAAAGCCCGAAAGCCCTCAACCCCGAAGAAGCAGGCCTCCCAGTCCGCGCCCACATACGCCAACATGCCTGGCCTCTCCACATTCGAGACAACGACATCATCGTCGCAATGTTGGGGCACCTTCGTTTGAGACGGCCACGCGTACCGCCGTTGAAGCCTGGCGCGCCGGTGTGCAGAGGTTCTCTTTCAGTCATTGGTCAGGCAGCGCTACTTGCTGAGTCCGCGCAGGATTGTTTTTGTCTTTGGTTCAGACATCGGCCAATGTCCATCCGCAGATCCTCAACCCAGGGCTCACAAGGGGGTGTCCACGGGTTTCAGAAGCTTCATGGGCCCAGAAAAGTTTGGACTGGGAGCCAGAGTAGGCCCTTATTCCCTTGCTTCAAGGTTTAAGGTTTAGGTTCCCTTATAAACCCCTTTAGATTGAAAAGGGCACCCCTGTTTATCCATAGACTACTCTAGTCGAGGGTTGACGGATCAAAGCACAGGGCTTACCAAGGAATCGTGAAACATGGTTTAGGGTTTAGGGTTGGGGTGCTCTTTTTGCCCCGACTCTCTTGCGCCAGAAAGGGGTCTGGGTGGGTTGCTGGCAGGTTTCAGACAACCTTCCTGCCTGTCCTTGAGGACGCCGGCCGGGAAAGAGGGTAATAGTTATCACACAGGACCCAAAATAGGTAGCAACATGAATGAGCCAAAACAGTTAGCAACATTATCCTCCCTATCATCCCTACAACCTGCTCCAAGGCCCCTAGCTTAATACAGGGGTCGTAACAATTACTAATAGTATTCCCGTATGGATAACTCCCCCAAAGTCCTATTCTAATTAAGGATCTAAGGGTGCACAGGGGTCTAAGGGAAACCCCAAGCCCTAAACTTAAACACCAAACCGTAAGGGTTCTAACACGTTCTTCATAGGCCCAGGACCGAGCCCCCCTTGCTTTGGCATGCTGTCGCTCGCAGACTCACGGCCATACCCTGAACCCTAAACCCTAAACCCTGAACCCTAAACCCTGAACCCTGAACTCTAAACCCTAAACCCTGAACCCTAAACCCCTGAATCCTGAACCCCGAACCTTTCCATGGGGCCATCTTGCCAGGTTCTAGAGGTTGAGAAGTTTCGTGGTGCCAAATACCCATCTTAGGGTTTAGCGTGTAGGGTTTAGGGCATGTGCCTTTTAAAAGTAAATGTTTCACAGGGTCCTGGTGTGATCTAATGTGGTATCTTCCGCACATGAAGGGGACATTGGGCTCTCTGGGTACTTACCAGGCTAAGATATGAGATTCGGGAATTCCGGTTCCTCAACCCTAAACCCTAAACCCTAAACCAATTAAACTCACCCTAAACCCTAAACACCAGAGTGGGTAAACTGCCATGCGCCGTCCCATAAAAGCCTCAGCAGAGCATCCAACAAATCTCCCAAGCCTTCGCCAGGAACCAGCCCAAGGGGTTCTTGTAGGGTGTCGGGCTCGGGTTTAGGGTTTAGGGTTTTAGGGTTTAGGGTTTAGGCTTAGGGGTTTAGGGGTTTAGGGGTTTAGGGGTTTAGGGGTTTAGGGGTTTAGGGGTTTAGGGGTTTAGGGGTTTAGGGGTTTAGGGGTTTAGGGGTTTAGGGGTTTGAGGGTGTAGCGGTTTATAGGGTTTATAGGGATTACGGATTGGGGTTTTTGGGGTTTTAAGGGTTTGCAGGTCTTATGGGTTTCTCGGGGATTAGAGGGTGTAGAGAGTTTACAGATTAAGCCCTGCAGAGTGCGGGGCGCCGACCCTAAACTCTAAACCCTGAAGCACCCTAATACGAGGACGGAAGCATGGAGTTCTGCGCAGAGGCGTACAACTACCAAACCCACTCCGAGGACTCCATCCGCCTGAGCATACACCCTGACGTCCGAAACCCTAATCATCCCTAATCCCTCCACCGTAAACCCTAAACCCTGAACCCTGAACCCTAAACCCTAACCCTAAGCCCTAAACCCTAAACCCTTCTGTTAGGGGTCGCTTGGGGATTTGGAAGAAAAATAAGCGTGCCCCCTTTTGCTCGGGATGAAGGGAATATGGGCTTTAGGGAATGAAGACCATAATCTGTACATCCAAAATACTTGGTAGCTCAGTGTTCCCCTTTCTCGTTTTTTGGTCATGGGTTCCCTTGGAAGGTAGCCACCCCGAAAAGGGTGCCCCTTTTCGAAGATGGTTACGGGGCTACTGAGAATGGCTACCCTAAACCCTAAACCCTAAACCCTAAACCCTAAACCCTAAACCCTAAACCCTAAACCCTAAACCCTAAACCCTAAACCCTAAACCCTAAACCCTAAACCCTAAACCCTAAACCCTAAACCCTAAACCCTCAACCCTAAACCCTAAACCCTAAACCCTAAACCCTAAACCCTAAACCCTAAACCCTAAACCCTAAACCCTAAACCCTAAACCCTAAACCCTAAACCCTAAACCCTAAACCCTAAACCCTAAACCCTGCCCAGCCAGGATGATCCCAAGAATCTCGTGCTTCTCTGCACCTCTCAAGGCCGCCATGGGTGTCATTCTGCTCAGCGTGCACAAGGTATACTTGGAGGGTTTAGGGTTTAGGGTTTAGGGTTTAGGGTTTAGGGTTTAGGGTTTAGGGTTTAGGGTGGTTCATGGGTAGTTAAAGAGCAGGCTTAGAAGTACCCTAAATAGGGTTCTAAGTACACTTATCATACTTCTAACCCTACTTATAACTACCCATGATCCTCCAAGTAGGGCATGGGGTTGAGGTTTAGAGCATGGCATTTCTGGTTCAGGTAAAACACCAGTCTCAAGGTAATGGTCACACAACAAGTGGGGCTTTACCTTTCCGCCACGGTTACACCTTGACCACCTGAGGCAAGGCTGAAGTGGATAAAGCCCCCGATGACTTAAGTTCAGGATAGGAGGGGTCTAGGGGTCAGGGTATAGAGCTTAGGGCTTAGGGCTTCGCTCGAGGATCCTTAGGCTAAACCCGAACCCCTAAACCCTAAACCCTAAACCCTAAACAACCAAAAACCTGGGGCAGGCACAGCCTTGCAGCAGCAAGGCCCTGGTAACCAGCGGCTCTTTCTGCACGACCTCCAGGTGCTTTGGCTGAGGGCTTCCCAGGCCATTTGTTTAGAGTTTAGGGTTTAGGGTTTAGGGTTTAGGGTTTGGGGCTGCCCAGCAGTACCCTTACTGCCCCTTTTTTTTTGTGGGGGGGGGGGGGGGGGGGGGGTTAGGTCCCCTTGTAAACCCCTTTAGGGCACCCTTTTTTCTCCTAGGTTAGTGGGCAACCTAGTAGTGGTTGTTCTTATTCTGAATATCATTGGCATTATTGTTTTTTCATTATTATGATTGTTTTTGTTTCAACATTTGTGTATCTTTCTTTTTGTTGCCTTTTCTGGGGGGGGGGGGGGGGGGGGGGGGGGGGGTTTTCACGGATGTTTTGTGGGTTTGGGGATTTCAAGGGTTTTTTTGGGAGGGTTTGGGATTTCAAGGGGTTGGGGTTGGGAGGGTTCAGGGGTGAGGAGTTCGGGTATTGGCGGTTTAGGGGGTGCAGGCTCTGGGGATTAGGATTAAGGTTTAGGGTTTAGGGTTAGGGCTTAGGGTTTAGCAGCACTTGGCCTCAGCACAAGATGAAGGCTGTTGAAGGGTTTCGGCTTGGGATGGTCCCCCTTTTCCTAACAGTCCTTAGTCGGATTATAGTAACCCCCTATTCCCTAAACCCTGAACCCTAAACCTTAAACCATAACCCTATTAAGGACTGTTGGTATAATTAAGGGGAACATCCCAAGTTGCGGCGCAGCAAGTGTTGGTGTTGAGGCCACCCTAAACCCTACGCCCCCGAAATCATAAAGCCTAAATCGTCACTTCTCTAAAAGGCCCCTTTGGGGCCTATTATTCTGAGGCGCCGCTACTAATTTAATTTTTGGGGTACCCAAAAACCCTAAACATTACACCCTAAGCCCTAAACCCTAAACCCCAAACCCCAAACCCCAAACCCTAAACCCTAAACCCTAAACCCCACACCCCACACCCCACACCCTACACCCTACACCCTACACCCTACACCCTAAACCCTAAACCCTAAACCCTAAACCCTAAACCCTAAACCCTAAACCCTAAACCCTAAACCCTAAACCCTAAACCCTAAACCCTAAACCCTAAACCCTAAACCCTAAACCCTAAACCCTAAACCCTAAACCCTAAACCCTAAACCCTAAACCCTAAACCCTAAACCCTAAACCCTAAACCCTAGCCGCAGAACTCACCAACTTGTTGCGAGGCAGATGGCCGCATCTCGCGGAGGTGGCTGGAGGCAACTTCGCTAGGGATCAGGGCTTTGGGGGTATTCCGAGGGATACCTGGGTATGGGTTTAGGGTTTAGGGTTTAGGGTTTAGGCTTTAGGGTTTAGGGTGTAGGGCTCAGGGTTTAGGACGTTTAGGACTTCGGGGTAAAACTCCCCCAGAAACCACTAAAATCCTAAAGTCCAAAAACCTGCAAACCCTAAAACCCTACAACCTCTAAACCCTGAAGCCCTAAGACCTTTAGCCTCTAAAGCCCTCAAACCCAAACCCGAGAATCCCAAACCGCCAACATCCTATACCCAAACACTAAGAACCTAAAATTCGAAAACTCTCACACACTAAAGCCCCCTTAAAACCCTAAAACCCTAAAGCCCTCAAGCCCTAAAGCCCAACCCTAAAACTCTAAGAACCTCAAACCCTAAACCCTAGGTCCTAGGGTGCTAAACCCGAGCCCTAAACCCTGAAACCCTGACCCTAGCCCTAAAACTCTAAAACCCTCAGCCCCCCCCCCCCCCCCCCCCCCCCTGCAACGCTTGCGACAGGCTCAGCGCACCGGCCATCGGGTAGGCGGCTGCCAGGCTTGGGTTTGTTCTGATGAGATCTGGAGTTTAGAGTTTTAGGGTTTAGGGTTTAGAGTTTTTTTAGGGTTTAATTAGAGTTTTTAGGTTTGGGGAGGTTTAGGGTCTAGAGTTTTAGGGTTTGGGGTTTAGGTTTTAAAAAGGTTCAGGGTTCAGAGTTTCGGGCTTAGGGTTTGGGCCTTCTAAGGTTTAAGCGACACTAGGGTTTAGGGTTTAAGGTGTTTAGGGTCAGCGGTCATCTTGGGTTTAAGCCTAAGCGATAGGGTTCCATGGGGTCTAGGGTATAGGAGTTTCGGGATTTGGTCAAAGGACTCTTGCGCATGCCCCTAAGGTTGTACCCCTAGAGGCTCCCCTTAACGTACTCCGAATATGGCCCTGATACTGCCTTAAGGATCTTTAACAAGGGTCCCGCAGAACGTAAGGGTGCGACCTTGAGAACCCCAAGCCCTGAACCCAAAACCCTGAACCCTAAATCCTAAACCCTGAACCCTAAACCCTGAACCCTAAACCCTAAACCCTAAATCCTAAACCCTAAACCCTACATCCTACATCCTCTCGGGTCCTTTCAGGAGGAGAGCAGCGAAGCGGCAGCGGCTGCGGCCGAGGTGGCCACGGCGGCTTCAGAAGCTGCAGCCCAGGAGAGCCCCCCGGGTGCGTCACGTCGGGGTTTGGGGTTTGGGGTTTGGGGTTTAGGGTTTAGGGTTTAGGGTTTAGGGTTTAGGGTTTAGGGTTTAGGGTTTAGGGTTTAGGGTTTAGGGTTTAGAGCTTCGGATTTAGGGTTTAGG